ATTCTGAAAGATCAAATCATAGAGTTCAAATTGATAATTATAGTTCTAGCTGATTACAAAACAATTCATTGAAATAATTCAAAAAAATAAAAATATTCTAAAACTACTATTGTTTCAAATTAAAATCAAAAAAAATTAATATAATATATATTATTATTATGTCCTTGAAAAAATTAATAAGGTTCTGTCGATCGAACCCCTCAAGCGATTGATTCATATTTCTATTCGATTTGACATTAATCAATGAAAATTTATCAGAGAGGTCTCTATCATTACGACGCAATTCAGTCCATATCATAATTATTCATTCATAATGTACATAGTAAAAAAAAGTATTTTTAAACACATAATTGTTTACAATTCTTAACTTTGTTCGTTACTTATTATTCATGTTGTTTTGTGTACGTGAATCGTCATATATACATATATATAGGTCAAAGTTAATATTAGAAATCAGTTACTTTTTTTAAACTTTAGTTATGTCACTATTAAAGGTAATTTATTGAATTTAACATATTTTGAAAGTAACTTTGATATGTATATATACGTTCGTAAAAGTTTTATTTATATTGTATTTTCCAGTGTTTATCATTTCTAGATCGCAAAACACATATGGTTTGATTTTTCATTTTGTATGGATCGTTATCTGATAGTTTTCATTTTTTCGCTTATGTCTTCATATCGAAAATGCGATAAATTTAGTCTCTCATAGTTTAGCATGATTCCTGTGAGTCATCTTCGTTCGGTAATATCGTAGAACGAAATCCGATGAAGCAAGTAGTTTGGTTAAATTGTTCATATAAACATGTAATAAAGATTTATTTCTGAATTACCTAAGTATATATATATCATAATTCATTTTATTATAATTAAAAAAGTATTTTTTTTGAATGTTCATATTTTGCAAAGTTAAACTTATTGAAATAGTTATATTATTTTCTTTCATTCTATAGATCTAAAAATATCAGCTATGTCATCTCGTTCTGCAATAAGTAAGCGACGTGATAGTGCTTCTGTCCATCCTTTTCCAAATCCATCTATGGTGTCTATTGTTCTTGGTGCACAATGGGGTGATGAAGTGAGTTAAGAAAATAATAAGTCTATTATTAAAATGAAATATCTTTAGGGAAAAGGCAAATTAGTTGATTTACTTGCATCTGAAGCTGATATTGTTTGTCGTTGTCAAGTAAATTTTATTCAATTTTCTTTTATATATTATATAATTTTTATCAGGGTGGAAACAATGCTGGACATAGTGTTGTAGTTAATGGTGTTGAATATGATTTTCATATGTTACCATCAGGTTTTCATCTACCAAATTGTGTTAATATTATTGGTATATAAATATGAAAAAAAAAACAAATTAATTCGATATAAATGAATAATTATTTTTAGGTAATGGTTGTGTTGTTAATTTACCAGAATTATTAGAAGAAATTCAAAAGAATGAATCTCGTGGTATTACAGATTGGTCAAAACGATTATTCATATCTGATCGAGCACATCTTGGTAGTTTATATGGTTTTTTTTTAATAATATTAAATTTCAAAAATGTTTAGTTTTTGATTTTCATAAACAAAGTGATGGTTTCATTGAACGAGGACGTGGTAAGAGTAGGTAAGTAATAATTATTGATTAATTTCAAAAAAAAAAAAAAAATTATTGAATTTATTTCATAGTCTTGGTACAACAAAAAAAGGTATTGGACCAACATATTCATCAAAAGTTAGATTTTTTTTTACTATCAAAAATTAGTTTTGATAAATATAAATTTTAGGCTACACGAAATGGTATTCGTGCCGGTGATTTAATAGGCGATTTTTCTATGTTTGCTGATAAGTTAGTTTATTATTAATTTTAAGAGAATTTTTAAACTTTTCTTGTCGTTTTTTTTCAATAGATTACGAAATCTTTATAATTATTATAAATTAACATTTCCTGATTTGGATATTGATATTGAAAAAACTATTGAACAATTTAAACAACTTGCGGAATATTTTCGTCCAATGATTATTGATACAATAGCTTATTTAAATGAAGCTATAGTTGATGGTTCAAAAGAAATTCTTGTTGAAGGTGCTAATGCTACAATGCTTGATATTGATTTTGGTAAGTTTATCAATGAAGTTTAGATTACAAGTAACATTGATCTATGATATTATTCGAAGCGCAAGTTTTGTATTGAATAAAAGAATTATATTTAATACCAAAAACTGTTTCTTACATACAAAAATTTATTATTCCTAAAGGTTAACAAGTGATAAAACAATTATATATGATTTTCTTTTAATGAAAAGAGTTCTTGAATAGTACACTTTACAAGATACTATTTTGTATTTTAGAGAGCTTTGTCTATTACAACAATATGACTAATTTTTTGTAAGATAGAATGGTTGGAATAAGAGTGAAAGACGATAAAGATGAACAGAGAACAATTTTTGTTATTTACTATGTATAAATCAAGGTAACAGCCTAGAACGTCCTTCAAAAAATGTCCCCGCATTTATATCCTTAAAAAAATATCCTTCAGAGTAAACGTCCCTAGTAAAAATGTCCTCCATTTACAAAATGCCCTTTCAGTAAATCCTGAGGGTGTGGGTGAGTGTGGCTGTGGCTGTGGGTTTGGATCTTCTCTTCGCCTACACCTGACACCCTCACCCAAATCCACACACCTACCCATACCCACACCCACATCCTGTCATCTACATATCTGCCTAATTTCATTTCAAACGTTCAATTCAGACTGAAGGACATTTTCACATGAGAGACCATTTTTAAAGAGCATTTTTCTCAAGGACATTTACTCTGAGAGACATTTTTTTAAGGACAAAATCTGGAGGACATTTTTTCCTGAGGACAAAATTGAAGGACATTTCGTCCGAGGACATTTTTTAAAGGACATCCTAGCATGACTTCTAAATCAACATCTAAGTATAGAATGTCTGATATGAATTTCTTAGCTGTTTGTATAAATTATCTCAAGAATAAGGTAAAGTTGCAGCTATATTCAGTTGTTCTCTGAATTATGCGACTGGATTTATTTTCAATAAGAATTTTAGAAGATAGAAGCGATTGCTAATTTTACCTAGAATGATAGAGAAGACAATTCTCTGGGAAATAAATGGTCTTACCGCTCTCTGATGTTTTTTGATCTGGATCTATCAACTTTACGGAGCGCACAAAAATAATATTTTCATACGAAATAACAGAAAAAATGACTTATGTTGCTCGATCAAAAAAAACATCGCAGAAAGCTGAAAACAGTAACTTGACTTGGCCATAAAGGTATGTGGGACCAAGTTGTTTTAGTCCTGATCCTAGTAATTTTCTTCCATCGATCTCGCCCGTAGTCTTTGTCGTCTACCGAGGTTAATTTGAATAGCTATAGGGTTGCAGAGTTACTTTTAACAGCTGGAAGATGCTTCTGAACACCTGGTAGCTCAAACGTCTTGTTCCTAAGCTAGCCCTCTATTTCTATTATGTTTCCAACGTGCACAGTATGGATACGCCTTCCTTCCATAGTCTTGGTAAAGCTAATGTGGCTCCGATCTATAGAACAGCATTCCAAAATATATTCGCATCACATCTAAAACGATTCTTCAGTACTCGTTTTTGTGAAACACGATCTAAAAAGAATATTGAACTAAAGAGATGAAAAGGCGACTGTAAGGTTTTGGTCAACAAGTGGAATATATACAGGTTCGTAAAAAAAAAACACTTCCTCTACCTAATATTGTGTGCATTATGAAGTTGTATTTTGCACCGCTGAGAATGAAAAAGGTGGTGCCCCTTATTGATATTTCAGTGGTACGAAGTAGAACTTAACTATGGATACATTATTTAATATAGAAAGTTTTCCTATACTAATAATCTCGACAAATCTCCAAGTCCTGCTCTTACACATATTTACTCGGGACAATCTTTAATAAATTATACTTCTGCATATCAATAGAAAAACAAATATAATATAAAAATTTTCTTTCCTAGGTACATATCCATATGTAACATCATCGAATTGTAGTATCGGTGGTGTCTGTACGGGTCTTGGTCTTGCACCAAAATATATTGGTGATATATATGGTGTTGTTAAAGCATATACAACACGTGTTGGTGATGGTGTTTTTCCAACAGAACTTAAAAATGTAATGATAACAAAAAAAAAGTATTTTATTTTTTTGAAAATCTTATTTATATCAAAATTTCGTATAGGAAATTGGTGAACATTTACAAACACGTGGTCGTGAATGGGGTGTAACAACAGGTCGAAAACGTCGTTGTGGTTGGCTTGATCTTATTTTACTTCGATATACAACAATGATAAATGGTTTTACAGCATTATGTTTAACAAAACTTGATACACTTGATGAATTAAATGAAATTAAAGTAGCAACAACATATAAACGAAATGGAATTGAATTACCAAGTTTTCCAGGTTTGAAATAAAAAAAAAAAAAAAATAATTTCAAACGAAATAGAAATTTTTTTTGTTTTCTATAATAGCTTCTGTTGATACAATGCATGATATTGAAGTTGAATATGTAACATTTCCTGGTTGGCGTGGACGTTCAACATCAGAATGTCGAACATTTAATTCACTTCCACATAATGCACGTCTTTATGTTCAATTTATTGAACAATTTCTTGGTGTACCTGGTTTGTTATTAATTTTTTTTTGTTATTTAAAGAAAAAAATTTATTTATTTTTCTTTTTTTATAGTGAAATGGATTGGTGTTGGTAAAGATCGTATGGCAATGATACGTGTTTTTTAAAAAACAAAACGTTTGAATTCATTCATTTCATTTATAAAATGAAAAATTGATAGATATGTGAACTGAAATTCTTCATATTTAGTAGTAGTTTTGTTCTTGCTTTTCTTTTTTTTTTGATTGAAACATACACCAGCTATATATTCTTTATTTCAATATATATGTGTTCACATTGTTTTTGTATCTGATGAATAAAATAAAAATTTTCATTATATCAAAATACTTTTTTTAGAATGGTTACAAATAAATCATATCAAGCATCTAATTGTAAGTTTTTTTTTTTTCTTTGAAATTGAAAATATTAAATGTAATGAAAAATGGAAATTTTAAATTGGTTCTGAATTTTTTGTTTTTACAAGTTTCTTATAAAAAAAGGATTCAATTTTTTGTGTTTATTGAAAGAATAATTTATTTCTTATGGTTATATGAATATTTCAAGTTATTTATTGGTTTTTTTTTGTTGCTTTGCATGGCCTTAGAAGTATTTATTTAGAGAAAATTATTTTTCCCACTGTTCAAATATTGGCGCGATCATAGAGAAATTTATTAGAGATGTGCAAAGTTAGTTTTTTCGTAGTTTTTATCCTAGACTACGAAAAAATTTTTTTAAGCTTTATAATACTAGAACTTACTGAATATATTATCAAGATCTTCAGAAAGATTTTTTTTTATCGTCTTTCAAATTATTGCTTTTATGATATTGTAGTGGAAGCAATTGAATGAGGCTGAGGTAATTTCTTCACGTATAGCACGGCATAGCAAAAAAGAAATTTCATCTGAAGAAAATTTTTTTCCATTGATCAACGCCTCATACTCTTGAAAAAACTCCTGAATACGTGTTTAGTTTCATAAACACAATTGTATTGGATATTAATTAAAAACATTCTTGAATCAGTTGTAATATGTCTTATTGTTGTATTCTTCTAAAATAAATATATATATTGAACAAATAAAAGATTTTATCACGAGTTGCATAATATTTAAACAATATTAGGAAGAAAAAAAGCTTGTTAGCGCAGCCCCTTTGGGGTTGAAATGTGAAACTCACATATATCCTCTAGCCTCACTAAACGAATACAAAATACCTAAAATGAAAAATCTCTCATAGACTATAGTTGTTTTGCAGGACAATCGAACATAAGAGTAAAGATCTCTCGAATTTTTGCATTTTGAACAGAAATCTTTTTTTTTTTCGTCGGACGCCTTATGTTTTTCTTTTGCTGTTTTACACATACATGATACCTACAGCAGATCTTAGGCACTATTATATATATTAATCAACTTACAAACAATGATATTCATTATTTTTCAAAATTATAACTTAATCAATTTTGCAAAAAAACTCTAGAAAGCCTGACGCCTCTTATGCTCGATTCTTAAAGTCTGTAATGGAGGGGGGAGCCGCCAACCTCGAACTGAAAACTTACACTCACTATTTTCTTCGAAAGCATACGTGAGTTCCATAAAAAGATTTCTAGTTAACTCTAAAATTAAGAACCATTGATAGTCATCTAGAAGTGAGTTTTGACTATTCCTTATTATTGAACAGTTATAAAAGAAATTTAATCTTATAGAATTCATTGTCTTTTTTTTTGTGCTTTAGCTGAAATTGATTCTATTCGTCAACGTCCAGCATCACATAAATCGAGTGTACCATCAGATTCAATTCCAAGTATTGCATATACTGATGAAATAACACTTAAACGACATCTTAATTTATGGTCTGGAGTATGTTTTATTGTTGGTATTACGATTGGTAAACAAATTATTTCTATTAAAATTTTTTTTTTCTATGTTTATTATAATTAATTGATTGTTTTTTTTTCTTTTCGATTTAGGTTCAGGTATATTTGTTTCGCCTAAAGGTGTTTTAAAATATACTGAATCAGTTGGTTTATGTTTAACAATTTGGGTAGTAAGTGGACTTGTTGCTCTACTTGGTCAGTTTATCAAAAAGATTATATAGAAATTTATATTTATTTGTTTTTCTTTTTTTATAGGTGCACTTTGTTTTGCAGAAATTGGTACTGTAATACCAAGAAGTGGAGCAGAACTTGCTTATATGAAAGAAGGTATCGGTTCTGTTCATGAGCGAACTGGTGACATATTAGCATATCTATTCAATTGGACAAATACACTTATTCTTAAACCAGCAAGTGCAGCTGTTCTTACAATGACTTTTGCTGAATATTTTCTATCTGGTATTATGGATTGTAAGTTTTTTTTTTCTCTTGTTGTTATCTCTACAATTAGTTTCCAATATCTTTAGCTTGTGGTCCACCAGATGAACTTGTCAAAATCACATCGATCTTTACACTTCGTATGTTTGATGCTCCTGAGTTTTTTTTTGGTGTGTGTTAATAATATTTACTCTCTATTTAAAGTTATACTCATAAATATCAATTGTATTAGTGTATCGGCAGCTAATCGATTAAATATTATGTTTGTAATATGTAAAGTAGTAACAATTTTAACAGTTATTGTAGTTGGTATTGTACGAATTGCACAAGGTTTTTTTTTTGACATAAGATAAAAAGTAAAAAAACTAATAAGAATTTAATTCTAGGACATACAGAATATTTACAAAATGGATTTGATGGTAGAATAAAATTGTTAAATAAAGCAAAAAGAATATATTATTTTGATTATAAATATAGGTACAACAATAAAACCATTAAGTATTGCACTTGCTTTTTATGCTGGTTTATGGGCATATGATGGATGGAATTGTTTAAATTCAATCACAGAAGAATTAAAAAATCCACAGAGGTAATGAAATCGAAATTTCATTAATGATCTATATATGTATATATACAATGGTTTGCAAAAAAAAAAACTTGGAACAAACATTTGACTTATATTAGCGACTGAATTAATAGTCTTGAAACAAAAAAATGTTTCGTTATTTCATACACAATAGTTCATAGTTTAACAACATCCCGTTTAGTATTGTGTTCTCTCTTCTTTTACTTCAAAAAACTTAATTGCATCTTTTTTGTTATGCAATTTGTCAAACTAATTACAAATTATTTTTTCATATTAGTTCATTTTTAGTTTATAAAAAATCTTCAGTTTACTTGTATTTTTTAATTTTCTTTTTCCCGATTCTATGTTTCACACATTCCAAACATTTTCAATGGAATTAATATTCGGATTGTTGAGTGACCAGTCTAAAATATGAGAAATACTATTGACGATGAGTATTTCTCATATTTTAGAGACTGCTCGTCAATCAGCCCGAATTCGAATGGAACCGAAAATGATTGACATATTATGAAACAATTAAGAGATATTAGTTTTGTGACTTTTCAGTCGATTCATCGATCGTGACTTTGTAATTTCACGTAATGAACTGATCTCGTACTCGACTGTATGTAGTGTCCATAATTTATTGATTCGATACTTTAAAGAACTTTGATATCTGTGCTGTCTCAACTGGTAGGTAATTGTAGGCAAAGGTGTATTTGTAGCCTGATGGTTTTTTTCTGGCTGAACGGATTCCCTTGCTTCAATAATATAATAGAGAAATATGCTATTTTTTCGTATTGTTTGGCTTTACCATATCGAACTCTGCTCTAATAACGAAAAAAACACAAAAAAAAAAGCTTGGAAATATTAAATCTTTGTGTTGACTAATTGTTTCAAGTTTTTTTTTGCAAACCACTGTATATATATATATTTGTTTGTAATAGAAATCTATGGTTATCAATAGTATTAGCATTACCATCTGTTATTATTCTTTATCTTCTTACAAATATTTCTTATTTTACTGTAATGAATAAAGCAGTTTTACTTAGTTCAAATGCTGTTGCTGTTGTATGTAAACAAATATATTAATTATAATTATTTTTCAATTGTTTTCTTTTTTTCTATTAATTCCTAGACATGGGGTGAATTTGTATTAGGACGAATTGCAGGACATGCTCTACCTATACTTATATCAATAAGTGCATTAGGAAGTGCTAATGGATCATTATTTTCAAGTGCTCGTTATTGTATGGTTGGTGCTCAATATGGATATTTACCAGAAATTTTTTCATATATTCAAAAAACACGATTAACACCATTGCCTAGTATTGTTCTTCAAGTTAGTTAAGATTTATTATATTGTATATATATATATCATTGAATAATATTTGTTTGTATTGTTTTTCTAGGGAGTTATATCAATAATATTTTGTATTCCAAGTAATATCGATGGATTGATTGATATTTTTAGTTTTTCTGCATGGATTTTTTATGGTTTAACATTTGTAGCAACACTTTGTTGTAAATTTACAATGAAAAAAGCTAAACGAGTAATTAGTGTAAGTTATTATTGGAAATAACAAAAAAAAATATATTTTTCTCTAAATTATTTATATTTATTTTAGGTTCCTATACCACTTATTATTCTTATTATTCTTATATCAATTTATTTGGTTATTGCACCTGTTATTGTTAATCCATGTATGGAATTTCTTATAGCTTCATTTCTCATTCTTTTTGGTATGGTATTTTATTATCCATTTGTATACTATCGAGTAGAATTAGAATGCATTAGTAAGTATATATATAATCAAAGAAAAACAATTGTATATTTTGTTTTTTTCTTTTTTTGTTATAGAAAAAATGACAAAATTTTTTGAAGATTTTTTCGATATGAAAATAGCAAGTATTAATTTGGATTAAATGACAATCATGCATTAATGAATGAACTCTGTCAGATATATATATATGAACTAGTCATTTTATTTAAAAAAAAAAACTTTTTTTTGTTATTATATTATAGATGAAAAAGAAATAAAATAAACTATGTCTTTCTGTTTCTTAACTAACGAAATACAAAAATTTATTAAAGAATAATTTATCATAGATGAATTTGAATAAATGTATTTTTAATCGTACGAGATTATCTATGATCTTTTTTTTTTGCTATTTCTATATGAATTTGATTAGACAATAAAAGATAAGAGAGAAAAAGGTCTTTATAATCTTTTTTTTCGATCGAGACAAATGTTGATGATGTATTTATGTAAACAATACATTTAGAATATTAAAACGTTTTGATTTAATATAGTAATAACTATGTCATTGAATTCATCTAGGAGTAAGTCAATAGTAAAGAAATAAGTATATAACTTCTGAATTTTATAATTATTAAACTTATTATTTAGCTGATATTGATTCTATTCATCGTCGTCAAAGTAATTCATCTATAATTCAAAAACGACATTTAACAAATGAAATATTCAATAAACAAGATTCATTAAATGATGTCTTATCAACAGATGATATAGCACTTAAAAGACATTTAGGTCTATTTTCAGGAGTTTGTTTTATTGTTGGCATGATTATTGGTATTAAAATATATAATTATTCAATTAATTATATTAAATATTTTATTAATAGGTTCGGGTATATTTGTATCACCTAAAGGTGTTTTACGTGGAACACAATCAATTGGTTTATGTTTAATTATTTGGATTGCATCTGGTCTTGTTTCTTTACTTGGTTTATTTTGAAAAAAAAAAAAATTTTTTTCTAAATTTTCAACATATATATTTTCAATATATTTCTAGGTGCATTATGTTATGCAGAAATCGGTGCTGTTATACCAAGAAATGGTGCAGAAATAGCTTATATGAAAGAAGGTATTATATATAAAAATAAAATATTTTTGATTGATAATTGAAAACTATTTTTTTTTTTTTGTTTATATTTTCATTAGGTATTGGTTCAATACATGAACGAATTGGTGAAATATTAGCATATCTATTCAATTGGACAAGTACACTTATTCTCAAACCTGCAAGTATAGCTGTTCTTACACTTACATTTTCACAATACTTTTTATCTGGTATTTTTATAGGTAAAAATTTTCTTTCGATTATAACATTATTATATATTGTATATATTTAGATTGTGATCCACCAGAAGAACTTGTTAAAATAACAGCTGTTTTTGCTATTCGTATGTTAATTTTGCTTTTTGTGAAATATGATCAGAAAAAAGTGTTGAAATATAACCGTAGAGATTCACATTATCTATTACAGCCTGCGATAGACTTATAAAGAAAAGACTTGCAACTGATTAATTGCTTTTTAATACGAATTATATACATTATGTATATTCTAATGAGCCATAATTATCTTGTTCACATCTATCTTGGTGTCAAGTTTTCAGTTGAAATTCAAAAATGAGTTTTTCCTCGTGTTTTTGAAGTAGTCCATAGGACGAACTAAAATATACGATAAAAGTACCATATATCGGCAGTAATAAGCTAAGAATGTGGACTCTTTTTAATGCATTAATTATATAACGTACACAGTTTTGACTTTAAATCAATGCAAACAAAATGGGTGTGTCACTTATTTTGATCCAGCTATATATGTATGGTAATCCAATTGTGTTTCACATTTATATCCCACAGAGACTAAGCTAACAACTTTTCATCTATCAATATATCTTTTTCTATTTCAAGTCATGCTCATGAATATCAATTCTATCAGTGTATCTGCAGCTAATCGATTGAATATTATCTTTGTGATTTGTAAAGTAACAACTATTGTAACAGTTATCATAGTTGGTATTGTAAGAATGGCACAAGGTTTGTTTGTTTTTTTGCATAAGATTAAAAGCAATAATAACAAGAATCTAATTCTAGGATATACACAAAATTTACAAAATGGATTTGAAGGTAAAAGAAAACTATCATGTAAATTAGATGAATATATTGTTTTAATTTTGATTAGGTACAACAACAAAACCCTTAAGTGTTGCACTTGCTTTTTATTCTGGTCTATGGGCATATGATGGATGGAATGGTTTAAATTCTATAACAGAAGAATTAAAAAATCCTGAAAGGTAATAAATTCGAAATTTTATCGATGATCTGTACGTACGTGTTTTGTTTTTTGTACAATAGAAATCTATGGTTATCAATAGTATTAGCATTACCATCTATTATTATTCTTTATCTTCTTACAAATATTTCTTATTTTACTGTAATGAGCAAAGTAGAATTGCTTAGTTCAAATGCTGTTGCTGTAGTATGTAACAAAAATTCGATTAATATATTCAAATATTTGATCTATTATTGATTAAATAGACATGGGGTGAAGTTGCAATAGGTCCTGTTGTACGTGCTCTACCTATACTTATATCAATAAGTGCATTAGGTAGTGGTAATGGAGCATTATTTTCAAGTGCTCGTTATTGTATGGTTGGTGCTCAATATGGATATTTACCTGAAATATTTGCTTGTATTCATAAACAACGATTAACACCAGTACCTGGTATTGTTCTTGAGGTCATCAAATTGATATAAAATTAATTGATAATAATATTATTATTGTTTGTTTGTTTGTTTTTTTCTTTCAAGGGTCTTATTGCTATAGCTTTATGTATGCCAAGTAACATCGAAGGACTTATTGATTTTTTTAGTTTTGCTGCATGGATTTTTTATGGTGTAACATTTTTAGCAACACTTTTCTGTAAATTTACAATGAAAAAAGCTAAACGAGTAATAAATGTAAGTTATAAAATATATTATAATATAATTATAAATAATCAAATATGATAGGTTCCAATACCATTAATTATTATTATTATTCTTATTGCAATCTATTTGGTATTTGCACCTGTTATTGCTGATCCAAATATTGGATTTCTTATAGCTTCTCTTATTATTCTTTTTGGTTTAATATTTTATTATCCATTTGTTTATCGTAAAATAGAAGTAAATATTATAAGTATGTAATAAAATTAATTCGATGAGAAAAAAAAACAAACAAATTATCGTTGTTCTTTTCATATTCTTTTTTGTTTTTTTTTTAGAAAGAATTAATCAATTTTTAATAACATTCTTTCAATTACAAATAGCACAAGTGAATCTTTAAATATGCTACTGTGTTTCTTGAACTTCATTCTTTTTTATTTGAATAAAACATTTTTTCTAACATTCAGTTTATTTCAGTATCTTAGAAAAAGGTCAATGAATCAATGATCATATTTAATAACCTTTGATAGAACTTCTTTTTTTTTTTTATCATTGAATTCAAATCATCATCGATAAAAGTCAAAACATTATGAAAATTTATATTTATAATAAATATTATTCGAGTAAAAATGATAAATGAATTATATTCAGCCTATGAAGATGCTTTAGTGAGACCGGTAAAAGTCTTTTTAAAAAAAGGCACGTCTCTATGGATCTTGGGAGTCGAGTTAGGATCATTTAATTGTTTTTCGACGTAAGTTTGACCTATCGATGAGATTCTCTTCAGGTGAAACTTTCAAAATACTCTACAAGTCATTCCAACTATACATTAACAAAATTTTGCGCTGAGATTCTGAATGTTGATTATTTGGAAAGTCAAATGATAACGGATTGTTTAGGTTCAAGCGATTCATTTATGAGAAACTATTTGGTCAAGCATGTGATGCATTTCTTCTGATTCAATATTTTGATAGCAAAGTTTATAAATGTATGCATTCAAATTTTGAACAGAGAATGAAGCGCCGAAATATAGTAAAACAGACCTATTGAATATTTGTTGTCTTCTGGCATAGATGTCACTGGTAGCAACATTGCATCTTTAAATCAATCCTAAGTGCAAGAATTATAATTACTATAATTTTCAAAGTATACCGTATTAACAATAGATTTTGTACTTGGTATTTTATAAAAATAAGTTCGCCGTCAAGAAGTTAAAGCCATAGAGTATCTTCTTTTGTTGTTTCTTAAATTCCTACATAGAAAGTGACTCTCAGCTTTAAAAAAAAAACACTCAATGGCATCATATTGAGTTGTAACATTTGATATTATAATAATATTCTCAGTGTGATTTAGCACGTCTTTATTTCTCTTCAATTTAATAGTGCATAGAACGAAATTATGAAAAACATAAGATTTATTTCATTTTCTTTATAAAATAATGTTAAATAATTATCTCAAATTCTGATTGTGTTCTATCTAATACAAGATTTCACAGATGAAAATTTCTAAAAAAAAACTAAACACAGTAGTTTTCAAATCGCAGAAGAATCGTTTTAGTATCTATCGCCTTCACTTATAAATATAAATAAAAACGAAAATCATCTTTTTTCCAATTTTTATAACGCTTTCATAGTAAATGTGATGGCTCCTCATTTTTTTCCTCTTCGAATGCATTAGATAGTCTATTAAAATAACTCTATGGATTTAAGTTTAGGTACTTAACACTTTACCTTCTACAGTGTACTCTATTAATTAGATCAATTAATATAGAGAATATCATCAATCTATACGAATGTTCAAATAAAAACATTTCAATTACTTTATCTCTAATTCTTATAATAAAAATTTTCTTTTTACAAAATTTCATACGAAATATAAATTACGAATATTTTCAACAATCACATTTAAGTCATGAGTGTAGATGAATAATGTGTTATCAAACAAACATACATTCATTACTTAATAAACATTGGTTATCCATTTTTTAACCAATCAAATATTTATTTAAGACCTTTACTATGAATTCTTGCATATTGTTTTTTGTTTCTTTCTATTGATCAATTTATTTTTCAATAATCTGATTTAATTTAAGTACCCAAAAAACTAATATGAAAAAAACCAAAAAATCTTGTAAACAAATGTCAGTTAATCAGCTGACTCAACCAATCTATATATGTTTGTCACACGGTCTCTCACAACAACAATATATAGGATTCACTCATTCGTTTATTCTTTACCTTCTAGATCATTTCTATGTAACACGTAATAATTTTTCTTTTTGTTTTTTGTTATATTACTTTTAGATAAAAAAAAAAAAAAAGAAACAAGCAAATTTTGTTGTTTTAGTTTAATTTAAAAAAAAAATGTCAAAAAATTTTGTAAGATTAATATTATATTTTTAATAATTTGTATAACTTTTTTTTTTAAAATATTTTCTAGGTTCTTCGTATTCAATCATCTGAAGGTACAAAACGTATAGATTTTAATTCTCAAGATACAGATAAAACTATTTATCAAAAAGTAATAAAAAATTAAATGTTCAAAATTATTTTTTTTTTGTATTTTATATAGGTTGCACAAATATTTTCATTATCATCAATTGATGATTTTACATTATATAAAGAAAAAAATAAAAATTTACCATTAGGACGTACACCAAATCGAACAAATTTAAAACATGGTGATATGATTTATTTAATTGCTGAACGTGAAAATATATTTCCAACAGATACAAATTCATCATCATCATCTTTTGGTACACTTGATGTTAAATCTGATACACCAACAAATAGTAGTAGTTATGCATCACCAAAAATTGGTTCATTTCAAACAAATAATAATAATAATTTGGGAAAATTAAATATATTAAATAATATAGATATTAAAGAAGATGATGTTGATATACAATTAGATAAAATGGATGGACGTATACCAAGAAAACGTAATCCACAATTGTATGATGAAATAAATTTATTGTTTTTTTTCTTTCGAAAGATTTTGTTGTTTTGATTTTTCTAGATGTCATCATAATTTACATGGAAAATGTTTACATTGTATACCTATTGAACCATATGATGAAGAATTTTTACAAAATCGTAATCCACCTATTAAACATATGTCATTTAGAGCTTATATTAGAAAATTACAAAGTTCAACAGCAAGTGATAGGTAAATAGATTTAAAAAAAAAAGAAAATCATATGTAAAATATTGAAGATCTAAACTTTAGCCGCGCATCGGTCATCCTCGCATAGGGGAAGGTTTAAATTCACAAAAATAAAAATTCTTTCTAAAATCAAAAGTGCATCACTGACAGTTTATGAAACATGTTGCAAGCTTCAAGATACTTTGTTAACCAGAGATATAAACCTTTAAATTGAGTATTGAGTTTTACTACATTTTCATTTTTTTTCCTGAAAAATAGATAGAATTCTTAATGTTATTTCATTGTGTAAGTGAAACTGGTATACTCGAACAGTAGAACTGTCTGTGTGCTGCTCTTTGATTAGGGATATATCGTGATAATTGGAAATTTTGAGATGTCAAACTCTTCCCATTAGAAAATCAAAAAAAAATACGAAATTTCATAACGAACAGTGTTTACAAGTTTTTGTTTGATGTAATTATACTCTGTTCAGAAATGAATCGATATTCTGAAAGCTTATGGACAACTGCACGAGAGCGTTTAGTTGTATGTGACTTGATTGCGAAGTAAAATACTTAACTCTTCGTTCACCCTAAAAAAAATTTCCATTTTTTGAAATTTCGTAACGATCAGAATTTTTTTAATAGTTCACCTTTGTCTGCATATAAACCGATAAAATTTTTATTGATAATAGATCTAAACTGTCTCTCTCTATATATATGATAAAAATTTCAGAGGATTAGCTTTTATCATTAATGAGATATAAGTGTTGCAGTATGAAAAAAAAATGAAATTTCGTAACGTGTGACTACGTCGATATGTAATTCACTAAGAATGTAGGTCATTGATTTCTTATAATGAAAATAGGAATTATAAACATTGAAACATGAGGAAACTTTGAGCTATACTGCTAATTACAAAACAATTCTATGTATTTTGTGACATATTTTTTTTTTATTATTATTGTATTATACTATAAGAAAATAGTTTATATAGTATAACAAGACGTCATTGATATACGGTCTTTGATTATATATCAACAGTATCGGCCATGCTCTGTAATGGTTTCTGTCAGGCGTCTGTCACAATCTGTGATAGTGTCTAGCAGGCGTCTATGAAATGAGACGTCTAAGTTTTTAACCGTATATTTTAATATGCATTTTAGATTGTATTTTATCAGATCATTTCGTGTGAAAGAGCCTATAAAACTGCATAGAAATGTCACGAATAATTTTCTCAAAAAATCAGATCTTGATATAAAAGAATCAACATATTTTTTTCAATATAATTACTCCATGAAGCGCTACTGTAATAGATTGTATTCTGTATAAACTATTGAGCTCTACAAAACCAATATAAAGATTTTGAGCAAAAACTCTAGGGATGTATTATTTCCGGAACATAACTTTGTGCGTTTTTTGATTGATATTAAGCAAATTAATACGATATTCGATGGAGAAGACCTTTTTGTTTTTTTTCTTAGAATCTTTAATGTTTGAACGCTTATAATTCCAGTTGAATGTGAGGAATTGATTGATGTAAAAAAAAGACGTGTATCTTAACTTCAAATTTTTCACATAAATTCTTCGATTTTCAGCACATACAATCGCCAAGATCGATTAGACTGAAGACTTTAGTCAACTATCGTATATTTTTTTTCATTCTAGAAATACATTTGCTAGTCTTGAGAATATTAGTTGTTCAATTAAAGATAAATGTGCAACTGGTCATGCGCCATGGCCAAAAGGTAAATATTCAATATTAAAGATATATATATATTTATTAATGAAAAATTTGTTTAGGTGTTTGTACAAAATGTCAACCTAATCCAGTAACATTGATGCGCCAGGTAATATAGAAATATATTTACGGAGAAAAAAGAAAGTGCAACAGTAACATGTTTTTTGAGTTCTTTTTTTTTCTATAATATTAAACAATAAGTTCAAATCTAGATAGTGTTTTATCTAATGCAGGATTTCATAGACGAAGGTTTCTAAAAGAATTCGAGCACGGTAGTTTTCAGATCTCAGAATCTACTTTTTAATAGTTCTATTTTAAAGAGTATAAAAGGAGTGTTCATTACATTTTCTACAAGCTTTATATAAAATATTAAAAGTATCTAAAATTTACATTTCAATTTTGTCTACTATTTTAATGTTGAATAGAAAGTATGTCATAGAAATTTTTATAAATCATTGTGTCTAATTGTATTAAATAATTACAAAGTTTTCAGCTCTATAGTTTGGGTTAGAGATATGAAACTGTAAGAAAACTATCATATACTATTTTCTAATTAACTTAAATAGATAGAGTAGCCGATGAAGGATTAGAACTCATCAGATTACAAGGTAGTCGTCGGAAAATATTATTTATTGATGACAGATATGTAAAATGTATGCGAAATATTATAATAGAAAAGTACCTAAAGCATTTAATGATTTATAAAATGTTTTTTCTTTTTTTCGAAAACAATCAAGACTTCAAAACAAAGAAAAGCGTATAAAATTCTTTTATTAATTAGATTAAAACAATACAACTAGCCAACATTTGTTTTATACAAAAATATTTGAAAATACACAAAAAAAACGAAAGATATTAAATGAAATTTTCTATATCATTTCGCAATTTTATTTTGATTTAAAAAAATAAAAACTTTCAAATTTTTTTTTTTAAATAATTATTAACTCTGATTTTAATGTTTTCAAAAATTGCCTTGTACTGACTAAAAAAATTTTCAGTAAAACAATCATAATTTAACTACTAAATTCTAAAACAATGAATTTTAAACTACTTTTAACTAAAAATAAAATCATAGTATCAACGAACTGAATTATTATTTAGCCTTATCGTCATGTAGACAATATAATGTTTGAGAATGGAAATATGGTAAATCGTTTTTTAAATTATTGGCGATCATCAGGTCATCAACGTATTGGTTTTCTTTATGGTCGTTATGAAGTATATGATGGTGTACCATTAGGTGTTCGTGCAGTTGTTTCAGCTATTTATGAACCACCACAAGTTTGTAGAAATAAGATTTATTCAAAAAAAAAATAATTGTTTATTTTTTATTGTCTATCATAGGAAACATCAAGAGATAGTGTTAAATTAAATCTACCTGATCCACATGAAGCATTAATTGATGATTTAGCACGTCGTCTTAATATTCGTCGTATTGGATGGATTTTTACTGATCTTATACCAGATGAAAGTAAATCCGGTAGTGGTCCTGTTCTTCATCATCGTGGCAATATGGTATAAAAAAAGAAAAGAAAAACAAATGAAATTATTAATTAATTTTGTTTTGTTTTTTGAATAGAATTCATATTTTTTAAGTGCACAAGAATGTATAATGGCAGGTTGGTTTCAAAATAATCATCCAAATATATGCAAATATTCACCAGATGGTTATTTTGGTTCAAAATTTGTTACTGTTGTTGTTACTGGTGATATATCAGGTCAAATACATTTTGAAGGTTATCAAGTTTCAAATCAATGTATGGCATTAGTAAAATCAAAAATATTACTTCCAACTTATGATGCACCTGAATTAGGTTATGTTAGAGAAACAAGTGCTGAACAATATGTTCCAGATGTTTATTATAAAGTAAAAAAAAAAATGAAAGTTTTTTTTTGAAATAAAAATATTTTATCTTCTAGGAAAAAGATTCATATAATAATGAAATAATGAAAATAGCACGTCCATTACCACTTGAATATCTTATTATTGATGTTCCAACAGGTTTTCCATCGAGTGATGCACAAATACAATCAACATTTAATGATGATTGTAAACTAATAAAAACACCATTTTGTATAGAAAATCGAATGCAAATTGGAGAATTACAAGTAAAAAAATTTTTTTTTCTTCATATTAAAATAATAGATATAAATATTCTATTTAAATAGGATATGAATGCATTAGCATCATATTTACAACAATTTTCAAAAACTGGTAGTGCTGGTATAACAACATCAAGTACAAATCAATATAAAGCAACAGATATATTAGCTGATCTACATCTATTGAGATATTTGGCTATTAATGATATTATCTCATTTTCAATGGTAAAAAAAAACATTTCATACTCAATGAACTATTCTAGTCTTTTGGGAAATGTATAGAATACACAAGTTACCAAAAAAAACAAAACCAGTATCTCGTTCGATTAGAATATTTTATTTTTTTAGCTTTGTGAATAAAATTCTCAGTAATAGAACAATATATTTTCGGATATGACTTATGTTTAATGATTAGATAATAATCTAAACTATAGTAATTCATTTTGTTTTATTTTCTCTGTTGTAATATTATGAGATTATTGATTTTTTTTTTTTTATCAATCTTTGAATTATATTCAGATTTAATTTCAAATGTTAATTTGATTAAGAAAAATTTTTATATTTATGATGAATTCATCATTCATATTACTCATATAATATGTAGATAATAATTTTAAATGTTGAAGTCTTAAAAAAAAAGAGTTTACAATATTTGATTTATTTTCCGAAAAGTTCAAAAAAAAAACAAAAATGTTCTTTGCATTTGATAAAACTTTGTACTCTACGCTCACGTTTATGAAATAACATATTTTTCTTTTATAATTATAACTGTATCATGCTAAAGTATTTTCATGGTTAATTTTCTACTTAAGCATATTTCTTATGTCTAGAATTTCAGAAAAAAAGAAAAATATATTATTTCATAGAAGCAAATACAAAGTAAATTTTCATGAATAGAAATCTTTTTTGTGTTGGAAAATTGTAAAAGAACAAGAGACTGTGTAATTCAATCAACTTCATATCAATTTATATTTCAAAATAGAAACATATTCGAAAGTTAAAAGTTTGTTTTTTGTACATGATTAAATTAATAAAATTTCTATGTTCGAATCATTTCCCCTGTCGTGAGTTTTATTTTCCTATTCATCATTTGTTTTATTTTTTTTTCTAGGATCAACTCGATCCATTACTTGATTCTATACGTAATAATGATCTCACTGGTGTTGAAACTTGGATGGAAGGTTCCGATTGGCAAACAATAGTTCAAGTTTTACAAACACATAGTAAATAATCAAAAAAAAAGAAAAAATTTAATTCTTCGACATAAATTTTAAATTTATTCTTTCATTTTCTTATTCTAAGCTCCTAGTCCAATAACAACAACAACAACAACAACAACAGGTATTCGATCGTCATATATGGATTATGAAGATCAACGTGATTTAGCATCTTCATTATCACAATGGAATTGTCCACGATGTACATTTATTAATGATGGTTCATCTCGGACATGTGAAATATGTTCATGTGAAAAAGGTTCTTAATTTTTACCCTATTGTTTCCATATGAAATTTTTCTTTCATGTTTATTTATTTCTATCTCATATATATTGAAACCAGCAAAATAAAAAAAAAAAAAAAAACAACAACAAAATGCCAATCTAGATTAAAACAAACAAAAAATATAAAATTTACAATTTTAATGTTTATTTGTTTTCTTTGTTTTTTTATTCCAGATTGATATGTTTTACGTTTAATCGATTTTTTTTCTTAAAAAAAGAAAAAAAGGGAGAAACAAAAAATTATGAGTGCACTAGCAAGTAGATCTAGTGGTGGAGCGAGTGGTGGTATTTCAGGAGGTAGTAATGATGGTTCAACAGACAATGATGTTCTATCGCAATATAAAATACTTACATTAACGTTCAATCAAGATTGCACGTAAGTTTTCTTTTTTTTAGTAGAAAATTAAGAAAATATTATTATAATTTATTAATAGATCATTAGCAATGGGCACGCGAAAAACTTATGCTTTATTTACTATTAGTCCAGATAATAAAATTGATGAAATATATGATTGTGGTAAGTTTTAATAGATTAGAATTCTTGTGATAGTAGATGTATGTTTTCAATCTTTTCGTAGTGATTATATTTATTTCATCAATAGTCTATTTTGTTATGTATAACTTGATGAGATATTCATCGTATCATTTCTCTATAAATATTTCAGTTTAAAATGTCAATTTACTAACGAGGGAATCTATCCAACTGGTAATCTCCGTTTGAGCTCATATTTTGCCCGTAAGTAGGACCCAGTGAGACTAGACAAAGCCTAAAAGAATAAATGCCATTAGGCCTTTCCTCCAAAGTTATAGTCGTTTTACTGAAATTTTATCCATAGATAGATCTACTTGTAACTAGAATGTCCTGGAAATTTCAGCTCAAAAGAATGTTCAGGACATTCTAGTTACAAGTAGATCTATCTATGGACAAAATTTCAAGTCGAAATATCGTCATTCGATTTTTCTGTACATATCTTGTCGTGGGCTAAAATTTCAGTAAAACGACTATAACTTTGGAGGAAAGGTCTAATGGTACTTATTCTTTTAGGCTTTGTCTAGTCTCACTAGGTCCTATTTACGGGCAAAATATGAGCTCAAACGGAGGTTATCAGTTGGACAGGTTCCCTCGTAAGTCAATCATCGTCTAGACAAAAACTAATGATGTTCGTAGGAAATAGTCAGTACACATAACAAGGGAAGTTTCTCCTTTCAATCTTAATGATTGTTTAGTTTAGGTACTAAATAGTATTCTAATAGAAATCCTTATAAGATTTTGAATTTCTATTCAGATTTGACTTATTTCAAACTTCTGTGGTTTCTTTTTGATGGAAGCTAATCTAGTTAAATTCTTTACAAAGTTTTAGATTAAAGTTCAATAGTTCAATCAAATATCAATAGGCATTTTGAATCCTTTTATAGTTTTTATTAGACGACTATATATTAATAATAAAGATGAGAATTGATTTACTAATTTTGTATCCTAGTTGTAGTCTATCGGATCCGGTATCATCAATCTGATGAACTCATATCATAATACAAAATTCAATAAATCTATGAAAAACTGCATAGTGAATGTTGTTAAAGAGTCATTTAAATTCATAAGATATTAATTTGCATGAACGCGCTATAAAACAAAGTATCTATTAGAATTCCATCGGGAAGATACATAAATCTGAATAAAATATTACCCCGTAGTTAGTTATATTAAGAAAAAAAAAACAATTAAAATTGACCTAGTAATATTTCATTACCTTACTCGACTATTGTCGAATTACGAAACATTTTGTTTTTTTTTTTTGTTTTAGCTTATGATGATGTATGTATAATTGAACGTCTATTTTCAAGTTCATTAACAGCACTTGTTAGTAATCAAGCACCACGTAAATTAAAAGTTTGTCATTTTAAAAAAGGAACAGAAATATGTTCATATTCATTTGCTAATACAATACTTGCTGTTAAACTTAATCGATTGGTAAAACATATATTAAAAAAAAAAAAAATTTTTGTTCAACATAAAAAAACGTTTTGTTTTTTTTTTTTTTAGAGACTTATTGTCTGTTTGGAAGAAAGTATTTATATTCATAATATGCGCGATATGAAAGTTTTACATACAATTCGGGATGTACCATCAAATCGTGAAGGTCTTTGTGCATTATCATCAAATAGTGATAATTCATATTTAGCATATCCGGGTAGTTCACTTACTGGTGAAGTACAAGTTTTTGATACATTAAATCTAGTTTGTTGAAGAAGTTCTTTTTTTGTTATTCATTATTGATTTGCTTTATATATAGAAACCAGGTATTATGATAAGTGCACATGAAAGTCCACTTGCTGCAATGGCTTTTGATATGAGTGGAACAAAATTAGCAACAGCATCAAATAAAGTATTTTATTTATTTTTTGAAAATATTATATTTATAAATTTTATTTTTTAAAGGGAACGGTTATTCGTGTTCATAGTGCTGTTGATGGTACACGACTTTTTGAATTTCGTCGAGGAGTACGACGGTATATAAAAATCTAGAAAGAAAAATTGTTTCAAAAAAAAAAATGAAAATACAGTCAAAGACAAAAGTTTAAACGAAAATATATTTTTGATTTTTTCTTTAATAACAAGCGTCTAACTGAAATCCAAATAGTCAATGAAGAGCTCTATCAAATGCATCCTATACCCAAATTTCATAGATGATTTAAGGTAGTAAGGTTTCTAGAAAATTCAAAACCATATTTTTCAAGTCTCAGAAGACTTTGCAATAATTCACTTCTAACAGTACCAACCTAAAGAACCCAAAATTTTGAAGAAAATGAAGAGTCACCGCCTTTCCTTTCAAAAGTTATAAGCATCACAAAAATCGAAAAAATACGATTTTTAGCGGTTTCTTGATAAATTTCACTTTTTTTCCAGTTTTTGTAATGCTTATAAATTTTGAAAGGAAAGGCGGCGATCCTTCATTTTCTTCAGAATTTTGTGTTCTTTAAGTTGGTACTGTTAGAAACGAATTATTTCAAAGTCTTTCGAGACCTGAAAAAATACGGTTTTGGGTTTTCTAGAAACCTTCCTACCTTAAATCATCTATGTAATTCTGGTATAGAATGCATTTGATAGAGCTCTTCATTAACTATTTGGATTTCAGTTAGATGCTTGTTATTATAGAAAAAAATCAAAAATACATTTTCGTTTAAACTTTTGTCTTTGACCACTAAGGTTTTATAAGTGTTGAAAAGAAATTATGTTAATATAATCGAATTTTTTAATTATGCATAAGATCTTGAAATAATATTACTTTAGTTTTCTATTGTTTAAAGCATTCTTTCGGAAAAATTCAGAACATCTATCCAGAGTTCAATGATTGAGAAACTATGTCGAAAAATATTATGGTAATGTTACAGATAATACTGACAAAAAAGAAAACACTCGAAGCACGAAACGTTGTAGCTAGTTTTCAGATCGATTTTCCTATTCATCGTATCTACAGGTCAATCTTTTACATATTTTTTGACAAGTTATTAAACTTTAAAGTAAACACGATTTTTCTAACATGTATGTGGCAACTATAGCTAGTTGAATTTAGCACTTGAATCGGATCGGGCGTATAGGTCCGGAAACCACCTGAAGCACTACAGTGGCAAGCAACTATTTGTTGTAAACTCAATATCTCGAAAAAGAGAAGATTCTGTTCGACTGAATGTTTTAAGAATCATTAGATCAATATATAGGCTATGTTTTTGGTCGAAAACTTAGTAAAACGCCCATAACTAGACCTCAAAGGTTCATGGGCATGAACCATTGTAAGTTTTTTCTAGTCTTACTATGATCATCTGATAGGTCCAATATGAGTTTTCAAATAATAGATTGCCATTATAGTTTTCTGGTAGATCAAAACTAAGATAAGGATTGAAAAATTAGAGTCCTGCATATTATTTTCATCAAGATTTACTTTAACTCAAAGTCATGACTGCAGTTGTAATTATTTAATCTTAACTATATACGATATAGATAAGAAAAATTTGATCATAAATGAGATATATTAATTTTCAAAAATAATTTTTTGTTATTTCGTTTTTAGAGCTGCTACTATATATTCATTAGCGTTCAGTCCTGATTCAATATTTTTAGCAGCATCAAGTAATACAGAAACAATACATATATTTCGTTTAGCAAATCCAAAAGAAAAGTAAAATATTTTTCTTTCAAATGACTTTTTTTTCATTAAATAGTTTCTTATTCTTTTTTTTTAAGAGCACCTGAAGAAGCAACATGGATGGGTTATTTTGGTCGTAAATTAAGTGATGTTGCACATTATTTACCTAAACAAACATCTGAAGTATTAACACAAGATCGTTCATTTGCTTTTGTACATTTACAATCACCTGGTATGAAAACAGCAATATCTATGAATATGTAAATATATATATTTAAGATTTTATTGTTCATATTTATTCTTTGTTTCTCTTAATTATTTAGATTAAATAAAACATTAAAATTATTTGTTGCTGGTTATGATGGTGTTGTTTGTGTTTATGAAGTAAATACAAATGATGGTGGTGAATGTAAACAAATTAGTCAACATCTATTATTTAGTATGTCTCGAAATACAAATAATCAACAACAAATAGTAACAACAAATGATATACGAAATCCACTTGGTAAAATAATTTTTTTGAATATTTTTTCAATTATATTTTCTTTTTTTTTTACATTATATATTAAATAAGATGGATCGGGAAAAAATTATTCATCGAATGTAATAACAAATGAAAATGCAACTGTACCATTATCATCATCATCATCATCAACAAGTCCAACAACAATAAAAAATTTTTCACATCAATCATCAAATATTCCAAATGATGAACAAAATTTTCCTCGATTACCTTCATCACCACCAGGTGTTTATGATTAATTATCTTATTTATCTAAATGAGGTTTCTTTTTTCTGTACAGAAAATTCTATTCATGTGTGTTTTATATTATTTCTCTTG